CTACGAAAGCCGAGAAGGATCATTCATAATTCAGAATTCAGAATTCAAAATTCAAAATTCAGAACTTGCAAATCAAGAAAGATAATCCTGGTTTATTACAGTTGAAATCCAAACACAACAAATATTATCTCAATCTTATCACATGATCTGATATATACCGTAGATTAATAATATAATTGTGCACAGACAAACAATAAAAGTTTTGAAAGGATACATTGTATATGACATTATGTCAGACAAATGAAAAATTTCTTGTTATCACTTATACTCCGGGAGACCGGGATATCGAGTGTAATTTCATCCTTATTCAAATGTTTCATGTTTTTCGTCAGTTCATAGCTTAAGAATTATAATAATATAAAAATAAGAAGATGTGGTATGATTGCCAATTCAATGAGACAACTCTCCACAAGAGACCAAATGACATAAAAATTAGCAGCTATAGGTCACTGTACGGCCTTAAATAATGAGTAAAACCCATACCGCATAGTCAGCTATAAAAGGCCCAGAAATGACAGATGTAAAACAATTCGAACGAGAAAACTATCGGCCTTATTTATGTACAAAATAATGAACGAAAAACAAATATGATATACAGCAACAACCGACAACCACTGAATTACAAAATACGATGTGCTATCCCGTTAAAAATATGTTTTCTACAGGTACAACTAAACTTCCAAACCCAATCTTTATATCTATGGAAGAATTTAGTATAGGTTTTAAGTAATTTGTGGTAAAGAAATCCCTGACTTAAAAATTAAAAGGTAATACATAGATTACGTTCATTGAAATCCAAAACGTCACAACAGATACGGGCATAGCGAACGAGTTGTGATATATAAACACCGTAAGATAGTGACAAAGGAACACTGCCGTTCAAAAAATCGTCCCTTTTGTCGTAAATTTTAGGGTAGAGTTTCCCGTGTAAAGCTGAAATGTTTACATTTTCCCCGTAGAATACACTTAGTCACTCAGTGATGTATCAGTAAATAATTGGACTATTCTCGAGCGATAAAGAAGTAACTTGCAATGCACAATTAACGTACATGTATACCATGTATTAGTCGAAAAATTGGGCGCAAGTAGTTCAAGTTCAAAAATTACCTCACGCTTAACTGATTTGAACATTTATGAAGGTAAAAGGTCAGACGCAGATCAAGGCTTCGGTGTCACATTGGGAGGGGGTTGACGCTCATTGGCATTAGGAATTAGAGGACTTTATTTTGACGTAAAATTTACCTTTATTTTTTTTTCGGGGGAGGGGGGCAGTTTGAATCCATAAACGGGGCTTATTACATATTTCACTTAAAACAGAATGTTTTCAGATATTATGAAGCTTAAATCTGGTGCTTAATTCAAATTTCATATATTAAAATTGTTTACATTGATATAAATTGCAGGTGAACCTTGTTGTGGCAAATTGTGCACCATCTTCATTTATAAAACAAAAAAAAATATATTGCGTCCTCTTTTCGGTGTAGTGAATTAGAATTATTGTCAGGTGTAAAATTAGAGAATAGGCAGGCGAAGAATGGAGACCGTAGCGATTGTTTTTTATTCACACAGGGAACAAATTGTAAATTTTATACTGTAAGAAATTAAGGATTTCGCATTGTGTCCGAAAAGACAAATATTTTTGCATTGTACAGGACGTGCTTACATAATTTTGACGTACTATATTAGATTGTGTTATAGAATTTCAACTATTTTTCTTAAATGATTATTTATTAATTTATTTCTGTTATTTATTTAACTCGAAATCGCCTTTGTAAAGGGCAAAAATGTTTTGCAATGTTCCAGGATATCAATTTTATTTTTTTATTTTTTATCATTTATAAGAATGGAGTAGACTGAAAAAAGTGTGTATGTGGAAAAAAAATGGGGGTGCAAACTTCTGAAAGTGATCGACAAGTAAAGAAAACCTATTTTCTATGTAGTGGTATAGTCTAAAAGTTAGGCATTGTCCTCTTTCATTTTCAGTTTTAAGTTTCAATTTTTGGTTTAAAATGGGAAGGGGACATAGTTTTGCCCCCTCTCCCCTTTTTCCCCTGGATCCTACGCTAGTAGAAAAACTTTACATCGAAAATAGGGTACAAAGACTATAAGTGACCAATGCCTATCATATTGGAGTCACATTCGCTTGGGGAATGCCCCCTTTTTTATTTTTTTCATTTTTTATTAAATTTAAGTAAAAGTTCTTAATTTCTTCAGTTATTTTACTTATTTCCCCACTTATTAACATATGCTTGCTATCATCGTTTGATTTAACAACAAGAGTATTGTATGGCCCATGCCCCTGTATTCCAATTTTAAATAAATTACAAAAATGAAATTTTAAAAAAGGGTCCAATCCTCTAAGCGCATGTGATTGGAGATCTTGCAGGTTCTTAAAATCTTAAAATGTAATTAGTTTTACAATTTGAAACATTATTTATTTTCATGAAAACATTCAAAAATACATGTGTCTTACTAATATATCACAATCGGTTCTAGTAATTTTAAACATTTGACATAGTTTTCATTTTATCAGCTTTAATTTATGCGTGAAACAGATTATAATATTCACCATCAGTCATAGTTGTGGTAATCTGGGACACTGTTTAAAAACAGGAGAATGACTTACAACTTTCGTGTGTTCAACATTACCATTATATCTTTAGGTATAGATAAACTATTATAAATAATATACATAATCAAGTATTTTGAAATGCACTTAGTTATTGTAATATTTGGTGTATTCATGTTTATTTGAAATTTAATTGTGTGATCGCCCTTTTCTTCGCCTCTATTGTGTTACTGGGTGCGAGTGTCCAGAGGGGAGAAATACAAACTTTATTACAATCTATTAGTTCTGCCTTTTATGCATTTTTTCTTATGTATCTTATATTTAGGATAACAATTCTAGTATATCATATCGATCTCCATTCTCAAATAAATTTAGGTCAATAATCTAATGGATTGTCGAGTTCAACTGTAGAAATAGTATATTTACAGTGTTTATTGTTTGCATCTATTTTTAGTAAAGTTTGTACTTGTGACAGTTTTATGAAACTATTTTATTTGAGTTTTGTGCTTTGTTTGGACTTTTCTATAATATTCATCAATTCTGGGCGATCTCAAGACTTCATTCGATTTTATATAGTTATATATTTATAATCAATTTCAAATATTTTATTGGACAAAGCAAATATGATAAAAATGACTTAATTCAAATGTACAACACACATGACATATACAACACGACAAATAATGTATATATATCTTTTCTGAATGTATAAATTGAATTCAAATATACAACACACATGACATATACAATACGACAAATAATGTATATATATCTTTTCTGAATGTATAAATTGAATTACATAAGTTAATGACAAAAGTGTCATATTTTGTTCAATCATAGACCGTGACTCCTAAACATCATAAATGAAAATTGTCAAAAACTTGACTCGAATTTTGTTGATATAGCAACATAAAATTATCAAAATTTGATAAAGGATACAAACAATCTGTCTGTTGTATGTGCTATTTTGATAACTAGATTCTTCCTTTGGAAAACCGGGTTATAATAAGAGATTGGTTGATTTTTGCTTAACCTCAAGCGGCAAATATTTCATGCATATTTATGACGAGAGAAAAATAACAATTAATACAAAAGCTAGGTTCTGTAATGGACGGTCGACCGGGATAAAGGGCGAGAAATTTGGAATGCCACTGGAAATACTGATATATTGGGTAGGACAAAAATTTGCAACAAGGCCCCTCAAAAGTTGTTGCAAGCTAGGTTTTTGATGTGCAGAGATCGTGACATTCTCTCTGCACGAATCATCGGATTAAACGTTCCCAATATGACCGGGCGAAACTGCGAATCTATGCGTCCCGCACAGCAAAAAGGACTTGAATTGACAAACGTTTTACTGCCGATCGGAAGAAGACAAGGGATGACCATCTTAGAGATAACTGTGTTGTATTTGAAGCTTTGCAGACGTCCATCAGTAGTTTTACTGTCGGAAATTGAGTTTACCTGGCGACGCGTACAGTACAGTACAGTACAGTCTGTACACTCAGAAATCGACAAAGAGGTCGGTTGACATCTAAAACTTTACGAAAAAGCGATGATTTTATTTTTTCCATTGTGAATTTCCATTTCAGTGAAGCGATATTCCAGCTGTGCCTGCACATTGAATATATATACGATACGAAACGATAGTATATGGCTTGGGTTTTCTTCCCTATTTTCTTGATAGAAGGTTGCTACTTGCTATGACGCTGTGCTACCAAGGGTTTCAAAGGGTAAAGTTGGATGCATCCCTATGAAGGTTTTACGGACCATTGTCCTTGTTTTAATGGATTCGTGTTCTTAACTAACTTTATAACATAGCTTTCAGTATAAAATATTAAAGTGCCATCTTTGTTGGCTTTCGTAAACGCAGGGAAACATGATAGATTAATGTAAGAGTTTTGAATTATCAAAATTTTGAATTTTGAATTTTGAATGATCCTTCTTGGCTTTCGTACATTAAAGTTAGAGTCGATAGTTCAGTGACGTCATTTACACCGATTGACATCAGGTAACAAATTCTAGAAATACATACGACGTGGGAGTATGATTGGAATAGCCAATCATGCCGATCAGCTGACATACAAAATATTCGTGATTTACCACTGGTTCGTTTAAAGAACGTCATATTAGAATGACAAATATCTCCATCGTATATAATACATTTAGGAAAACAAGTTTGGTTACTTGTTTAAACTGTCAATATAAATCAGGCCGTTAGTTTTCTCAATTGAATGGAATAAATATTTTTCATGTTGTGGCCTTTTATAGCCGACTATACCGTATGGGTTTTTCTTATTGTTAAAGGCCGTACTGCTGTCCATAGTTGCTTTCATCCACTTCTTTGGAACTTTGGTGGATAGTTGTAATATTGGCAATCATACCATATCTCATAATTAGTAAATAGAAGTTAGTACATGGTACTCTTTGCATATTAACTTAACATTGTTTTATATACGTGTTGTCATATCAAAACCTTCCATCCTTAATGGGTGGATTTTACATAGATAATAAAATTGTATGATAAAAAGCAAAATGAGGATGTTAAATTTGATGTAAGTTTGTTGTGCTTCTTTGTTACATTTGTTTATTTTTATAGTGATTAAGATGATAATACAATGTTGACTGTTGTACCCCTATTTTTGACATTTTTACCTATTGTGTCTGTTTGTTTTGTTCACGCATCGTTGTCAATTTAATGGAATTTGATGCAACTTTCATACAAGTGAGAGGTTTAGCTAGCTATAAAACCAGTTCAATCCACCATTTTCTACATAAGAAAATGCCTGTACCAAGTCAGGAATATGACAGTTGTTATCCATTCGTTTGATGTGTTTGAGCTTTTGATTTAGCCATTTGATTAGGGACTTTCCTTTTTGAATTTTCCTCGGAGTTCAGTATTTTTGTGATTTTACTTTATGCAAGAGAAACATAGTTTTATGATATCAAAGATTTGATGATAGCTGAACGCGCCTGTACTATAACAAAAAGACGTTTTAATGTAAAAGCTAAATCACGTTGGATACCAAGCACTCAGTGATTTGAAGCAGAGCTAAACTGATTGTTCCTTTTTCCAATGAATTATTCATACCTATGCAAAACGAATATACGAATTTCAGCTTAAACAGGTCATCAGTTACCTATCATTTATCAAAGACAGGCGGAAGATATCGAAGGGACATTCAAACGTATCAGTCAAAGACAAACTGACAACGCCATGGCAAGAAACGAAAAACTACGAAAAGACAAACAACAGTTTACAAAACACATCATAGAAAACTAAAGAGCTTTATCAAGTATTGAACAAACACACATTGTACAATTCCTTTCACTTTTATACCATTTGATAGTCTTTCAAACTATTTATATTTTTTTTTACTTATAATCATATTGCAATTTTATAAATGGTTGTCAAGCAAAATAAAGTAAAGCCTAACATGCAAGTACTATGCGTGTGCATTAAATTTGCAGTAATATCTCAGTTCCTCAAAAAATTTTATGCAGAGTTCACTGTATGATATAAGTCGTTTTAGATAGAAAACTCAAACAGTTTCAAGCCGTCGAGAAATGATTTTAGACCATATTTTCCAATACAATTTCAAACATTCCTGTCGAAAAGTTCTATCAAAAAGGCAAAATACGAAAGCATTTGACGTATTGCTACCAAAATATCCACGCAGAAGGATAGCTGTTACCGGTTGGATAGTGGTTTTATATAACTTAGGATTCAGCAGTTTTATCATTATCATGCAAACAAACAACATATATGCTATATACGAAACAGTGGTTGCTATCATGAGACTGACTGTAAGTCGAAGTGAGTTTTCAAGATTGTACGATGCGTTCGTCCTGTGACCCTTTTCGGCTGGTACGTGAATTGTTAGTATCTCCTCATTTTGAATAGATGAGTTTACATGGGTATTCCCGAATCTTATATGCGTAGGTGAATTGAAAGACGAATTTGAATTTCCTCTTAATGATTTCCTAATTTTTATCCCATTACAAATGTCCCACAGTACTCGTCCGTATGATACGATGCACACAACGGCGAAAACTGAACAAAGAGTACTAAGTATTATGATGTAGTAAATTCCTGCATTATGTATATTTACATTCTGGGATAAAACAGTGCAATCCTTTCCGGTGAGACCAGGGAAAACTGTTTTTATTTCGTTTGGACCAAAAAATATTACGACAGGAATTGACAATGCCACAGATACTCCTACCAGGACAGCAGATATGACATTATTCGACCTCTGAGAGTTTAAGAACATTGGCACTTTTTTTACAATAATTCTATATCTTTCAACAGCAATCGTAGTCCAAAATCCACTTGAGGCCAAGGCAACCACATGAAAAAGAAAAATGAAGAATTTGCAACCACTGATAGATGTGGTGTAGCTGTATCGAATATTATAAATCTCTAATGGCATACAAAACAAACATGCTATAAGATCAGTTAATGAAAGCCAAATGATGAAAACTCGAATCGAATATTTTGCCATGACCGGCGATATCTTGAATATTAATATCATGTGTATATTTCCAATTGTTCCTACGATACACAAGAAACTAAGGCATATTGTAGCTGGAATCCCTTGGTCCAGAAATCTTTTGTATTCTATTTCACTCAAACTGGTATCAGTTTCTTTTGTTAAATGTAATGCCATCCTGAAAATTGTAAACAAAACCTTTTATGCTTTTGATTTTAATAGCAAAAAACATTAATGAATGAAAGCTACGTGCACAATTTTTGTTTTTCGAGTAGAACTCGAGAGTATTTTTGTCTCGTGTACCACTGAATGATTAATTCAATTTTTAAATCAGCGGCCTTTGATATTTTACTTTCATCTATAGGATCGAGTGAGTTTATTGTGTTTGTAATTGATTAACATATGTTCTTATAACTTGTTTCACATATGTTCTTCTAAACTGATTCACATATGTTCTTATGAACTGATACACATATGTTCTCATCACCTGATTCACATATGTTCGTATAGCCTAATTCGCATATGATAACATAGACACTTTTGATTGTACTTTATTCAATAAAATGCAATAAGTTAATGTTAAATATTAAAAATAATTTTCTTCCTTGTCCCAAGTTTTAATTTGCAAGATAGATTCAAAAGTTTAATAGTTGAATGGATGAATTTCTTGGTGTTTCTTGTTTACAGGGTAATTTTCAACCATTGTCATAATACGTTATAGTTATCTATTCCATCTACTTTAGATATAGGATACAACAGATACAGTTAAGTCTGTCTCATATTTTGGCTGACATCTAGAAATTGACAATGATGATCGGTTGAAAGAAAAACTTTACGACAAAAGAGATGATGTCAGCTTCCCAATTGTGAACTTTCCATTCCTATGTAGCAACATTCCAGCAGCGCCAGCATACGTACATTTTACGGACGCCTACACGAGTTGGTTAACCTTAATATAAACGCCGTTTCACAGAAAAGGACGGATATGTTCTACATGTTCTAATTGTCGCAATTACAATCCCGTCCCCTTTTCACCGAATGTGAACTTTTGAATTAGATTTATCACTAACATGAATAACACGACGGGTGTCACATGTAGAGCAGAATCTACTTACCATTCAGGAGCACCTGAGATCACCCCCATTTTTGGTGGGTTTCGTGTAGCTCAGTCCTTGTTTTCTATGTTGTGTTTTGTGGACTGTTGTTTGTCAGTTTGTCTTTTTTTGGCCATGGCGTTGTCAGTTTATTTTCGACTTATGAGTTTGAATGTCCCTTTGGTATCCTTCACCCATAATACCACAAGTTTGTAAGTGTTAAAATGGTTTCCTTTTTCCTGTACTTCGTTAACAAATTAATTTGACCAATTAATGTCCGCTGATTTAAAGCGCAATAAATTGTTTCCCCATTTCGAAATGTATTACAAGCGCTAGACAATCAAATCTGAATAGATCAGATTCAAATCAGTATTAACTACAGGCAAACGTCAATCACAGATTTGTGAAATAAAAATAATAAATAACTTCCTTGTTGAATTTTTTTTATCCGAATTACATCGGTCAGAATTTTATTTTATGATTTTAATCCATGTAATGATACCTCGACTTAAAATGGTAACAATCAACAATATGAACAAAATATCCATTCGAAGTCCTGATATATTTGCGTCCATTCGGGTTCAGTTTTGGGCAATTAAAAAATAGAATTATCGTAATTTGTCATGATTAATATCTGATAATTGAAATTAAATTATTGAATAAAATACAGGTTGTTAATCAGTTGACGGTATTGTACGTCCTTCACAACAACTTCTTGCTCTACATCAGAAGGTGTTGTGTCTGTGCCAGAATACAAATAGAAAATAGTTTTCTTTGAAATGTGTCTTTTTATATCAAAATCTTTCCCAAAGTTTTAATTTACAGGTATTATTCAATGGTTAAAAAGTTAAATGAATTGATGTCTTGATGTTTCTTGTGTACCGCGTAATTTTCAACCATTGTCATAATACGTTATAATCATATATAATAATGCATTGAAATCGTATGTGGCATTAAACACATACCTGAATAATCTTTGTTGTCTCTGTGCATATAGTTGTATGTACTTCTACAGATAATAGATAATTTATCCTTAAGTGATCTAATGTTCAAGTCAAAAGTGTTTATACACAACAGTAAATTTATTCATATCACTTCACGCCCTTGGTGTATCCAATGAAAAAATATAGTTTATTACAAAACTAAAGTCAATATTGGAAAAAATAATGTGGGTAAAATGTATAGTCTTTTATACAATCATATATGGGTGTCCTATTTTTAGTCTATACAATCATATATAGTTGTCGTATTTTCAGTCTATACAATCATATATTGCTGTTTACTGTTTTAAACACAATTTCGTTAGTGAAACCCAAAGCCCAACTAAAAAGAGTTTTAAACTGATTCCTGACTGAAGACATTTGAGCTACACTTGACAATGAGGGTCAATACCATACATTATATCAAGAAACTACTTGCCCTAACTGATTCGCCATTGGCAATCAATTTGGTCCATTCATACTCCTTGCACTTTCTCTGTTATCAATCGATTGATCTTGTTATAGTTCTGTATATACATTTCATACTAGACTTCGGCATTCATATTGAATTTAATTGTAAGTTTGAATACCACGAGGACAAAATGTTCGCGATGACTTTGATTGACCATATTTATACCTATATGTTTTATGATATTAAATGTTATTGAAAACTCAAACTTTTCAAAATGCTCGTTAACAAAGTTAATGTCTAAAGAGAGACATGTCGCCAAACAAACAACAAAACACATTTTGTTAATGCAAAAACTTTTCGACCTGCTCTTATTTCTACATACTTCATGATTTAAGCAAAGTGGAGCAGTAACAACATAAACAAGTACAAGGTTTTAAGTATTTAGGTAAATAATCGATCTAATAACTATCAAATATATCAGGTTAATTATTGAATACGCCAGAAAAGCATTTCGTCTTAATGAAACTCATTATTTTCGCTCGAATCAAACCAGCTGTTAAAAAATAATTAACTTTTTATATCCATACGTTTTTCAAATTTGGACTACGGCCATTCTTCCTTAAGAAAAAAAAAAGTCATCCACCTAAAACTATTCTTGACATATTGTTTTTCCGCTAGAAATTTGACCTTTTTCGTGTTTTATTGTTTGTTAATAAAATGGTTTTTATTATTTCTTAACTGATGATTTATACATAACATCATTGTCTTTCCTTTTCTTAATGTATTCGAAATGCAGAGCAATATAACCACTCCTACATTTTTCGTAATTACAAGTTATTCTAATTATTTTGTATCAATGGGTTTGGTTGGATGACAAAAAGCGTAAAATTCTCTATCTCCCTGTCTATAACAAAAGAAGCAGACATTTTTTGAATTCTGGAATGTATTGATGTAATTTCTCCAATAATAAGCAAAAAACTCACATTTTGCACCTATACATCTTCTTCACGTTCTTTTAATCAAATTTTATTATTTTGAGGCGGAAAGAAGCCAGAAAACGCCCGGTGTTTACGTTTGACGCTGGAAGCATACCTATGACGTCACTTAGTTTAGGCGCCAAAGAAGATAACATCATTTTGCAGAATTTTTGTATAAATGTATCAGAAGTGAAGAGCAATAAAACCACTTCTAAATTTGTCGTAATTACAAGTTAATCTCCAGCACATGCTCATAATCTTCCTTGTGTTCTGCAAAAATTAAATTTTTAATTTTAAATTGTTATGATAACAATAGATAAAGGGCAATTTTGTCATATGCATTAAGTAAGTATGAGAATAAATAAGATTTCTCATGTTTCTATTGAGTAGAATTTGAAAACAACAACTTTTTTTTCTACACACGGAAAATGAAATCTCATCATTTAAGGTGAAAAAAAACTAGTTAAATATAAGAACGGATTTCTTTCGAATTAAATTTTGAATTTTAAATTGTTATAACAATAGATAAAGGGCAATTTTGTAATATGCATTCTAATACAAATTTTTCTGTTCTCTTCCGTTTGTGAAATAGCATATTTTTTGGGCACAATCATTTTCTTTTCTGGAATGACAACAGAAAATTGAACAAAATAGTATATTATTTTAAAGTTAGTATGGGAATGAATAAGGTTTCTATTGAGCAGAATTTGAAAACGACAAGATTTTTTTTTCTACACAGGGAAAATGAAATATCCACATTTAAGGTTTTAAAGTTATAAGAATGTGTTTCCATATGACACCATACCCCACTCGCACTATATTTCTTTGTTCGGTGAACTGTCAAAATGTGGTCAGTCCCTAAAATTTTAATTTATATAGAGTAGATCAAATCATAATGAACACGTGTAGTAAATTTCAAATTGAAGTGACGTCATGGTGAATTCCCTTTACCAAAAGTTTTAACATGAGTTTGTACCAATGTCACATGTTCAGTGAATCATGAAATAGGAGTTGAAAACCGTGTTTTGGCATTATTTTGTACAGTTCGCATCATAATGAACATGTGTACTACGTATCAGGTTTCTGTGATTACAACGTAATGCTTAACTAATCAAAAGTTCAAACTGATATTAGACTGACAGACAAACGATAGAATAAAAGAGATGAACTGACGAAAAAGCGAACGGACGGACCAACATACCTGGAAACATAATGCCATTCTACTATCGGAGCGGGCAGAACTACTATCGCAGGCGTTCCATAAAAAAGATTACTTGTAGAAGGGGTTTGTAGCCTGTATACTAGTACTACAATAAGTACAGTTTCGATGTTGAAGTTGTATCAACCATCAGGAACCCGATGATTATAATTTCGCATGCTAGACGCACCTCCAAATATAATTTTAGTATATACTACCCAATTTTATGAACAGTCTGTTGAAGACGATTTCCAATGGAACAACAAGAGAATTACTATCAGGTACGTAGCTAGGACGGTGGTGGCTGGGGCGGCGGGCGGCGTGCGGGCGAATGGGTGGGCGGTTGGTCGATCATCGTGCGGGCTATCGGGTCACTCTATATAATTTACAGTAACATTTAGCATTAAAACGGTTTTACGGCTTTTAATTATTTCTCTTGTATGATATTTTTTCCTCTACCGATATTCTATGCATTTTGGATCTAGCAAAAATTCCATCAAAGTGCTGTCGTGAATTGTATTCGACCTTTATAACCGATGTAAAAGTAGAAGAAAGTCGGAGGATACCAAGGGAATTTCCACTGGAGTCTTTAGTAGTTAATGTTTATTCAGAATGAAATCTTGAACTTACTTTTTATTTCGATTTCAAAGCCTTGCAGCATACCATAACTTACCTCTTACTAAGATCTTTTGCATGGGCTGATGCCGTTTTTTTTTTTTTGTTTTTTTTACATTTCGGTTTTGTCAAGGATTGTTTGACGTCTCTCTGGTATTTTTTTTTTATTTTTACCACAGATAATTGACAGCTTATTGTGCATCTTTGCAAGGAAATGAGGCATAAAACGATTGGGAACAAAGCTTTAAACCACGATGACTGCTTTTTCCCAATAATGAGCTTTCCATTCACTTGAAGGAGTATCTATGCACGGTTTGTATAGTTCTTATTTAATTTAAACAGCAGCCAATATGTCATTTATGCTTTTGTATCTTGCAACAATTCATGTCACGAGCCAAATAACGCGAATCATATGGACGGTTGGTTGTTTTACGTCGAGTAGCAAACATTGCATACATAGTTGGGACGGGTAAATGTAATCTGATATGAATATTAACCATGTTTGGTACTAGACTGATTTAATCGTGCTTGTTGAAAAGATAACAGTCCGAATACCCAGGGATCTAGGCGGGTTTGTGTGAAATTGGTTAGGTTGAGTGGACATAATTCATTGAATTGTGAGGTAGCATCATTTTCATACATTTGGTGGAAATCATTTAAGATATCAGTCAATCCGTACATCTAAATATTTGTTTAATCAAACCACGTTGATAACAAATAAATCTGAAAATATGGTATGGAATCACTAATTCAAACCAGGTAGTACAATAAAGTAGTCCATATATCAAACAAATTAGTTCCTACGCATAGCTGTCATTTTTAATATATGTAAACCATGTGGGTGATTTTGGTATCAAATGAAAGTTGAAGGATTGGGGATCATTGTAGAACCCTGTTTGAATGATTGTATTAATAATAACAATATTGTACAAAATTGAACCAGGATAACATATAACTGTTTTTCAGGTCTGAAATACCTGTTATTGTACTTCCGAACTTGTCCGTGCGCTCTTGTATTTGATTAAAGGTGTGTTGATTTTTCCAGCAAGAGTAACCAGAATGTATTGTTTTGACATGGAATGACTGTCACTTCAATTGAACTTAAGGTCTATGAATGATTGACATTGGCTAATTTAACATAGAAACCAATGGGGTCGTTGATAAGTGGTTTTATTCCATATCTGAGTTTGTATTTTATTAAACTTCAGAATCTAAGTAATTGTCTTCATATTTTGTAATCTCCCTATCGATGCAGGACTGAAAAGACCGAGATCAATCATCTTCTACATGGTCTTGACTATTCTCAAAACAGATTTTGTCCATGATCTAATGTAGAATCTTCAATGCATAGATACAATTACAATTTCAACAAAAGCATACAGTTGGCTTTAGTCATTCATAAGCATGTATAACAAATTTCTGTCGCTATAAAACGTAGGCCGACATAATATCCTTGCATGAAATTAACTGTATGATAAAATAGTTTACGAAAACAGATCTGACAGACAGCTAGCAACGACAAACATTGACATAACGTACGAAGAAACAGCTTAAACAGTTGGGAAGGGATTTACTATTCAGATCGACACGCAGTACTAATCACAACTACAAAAATGACAGAAGACACACAAAGTACCAATCTAAGAGAACTCTCAGTTACTGAATGCTAATTCAAAGTCAACAGCAACTAGTAAATATCTTAAGTGTTCCAAACAAGTGTCAGTCAGTACACATCCAACCGATTTAGTGTACAGACGTCATAAACTGGCTTTAAAAGATGACCTTTTGCAATGACAATATATAAATATCGACAGGAAGTAGGACCATAAGTGTCCATTACTGTATTGTTATACATCTTTAGTTATGTTTTATTCTATTTAAACAAAATTTCAGGTATCTTACTACATTGTTAAATTGATA